AGATTACTGGGTGGGGCAAAAGTAAGTTTACAGTTGTTTGTATGGAAAATAATGCAATAATAAATAAACAATAATAAGTATAAACTGTGTTTCGTGTACTCACAACTGTAAACCTCCTTTTGTTCCACCCGTATTTAAGAGAAGGCAGCAGGACTTAAGCTGTGACAAGCAGGATGAAGAATATTGTCAGGAAAGGGAAAATGACTCCATGTGATACGGGGCGGGCCTTCTGTTAAGACAATGCTCTTAAGGCAGGGCATAGCACTGGTAGGAAATTGGTCATTCTGGTTCATTGTTAGGAAGAGTTTTCTGGTAATTTGCCATCAGCTTGAAATTTTCTAAGTCAGAAAGGAATTTTCATGTTTTAAAAAAAGATTGCCTATTATGAATTATAATTCTTTAATTGTCCCCGTTCAGATAAGCTTGTTGGGATAGAGATCTCCACCCCCCTTTTTTTTCAGTGTTAAATTTTGCCCATTACGCACATCCTGTAAAGGGAAACGTGACTAGGGGGGCACATTTCAGAGAACCTTTATAATCTCTACATCTTTGGGAGGGAGGGGGGTAAACATTATGCACTCTTGTGTGTTAAAACACTGTTAGTCGTCTATCATTCTTGATTTCATTTTCAGGAGCAAAATGCTTAAAAAGGGTAAATGGCAAACCACTGAACAGGAACAGATCACACAAGCAGGGCTCATGCAGCTAATTAGTCATCTCGTCAGAGGAGGCCCTGCAGAGCCATAGCAGACGCTAGGAAGGAGCTGGAGAGAAGTTTCTGGCATGGTTATGGATCTTTTATTGTAGTAACAATAGTTTATTTTTCAAATCAGGGGAATGAGAGCAAAGTTGCTTAGCAATCATGTGGGTGCTAAAAGAATGGCCTTTGGAGGAGCAGGCATTTGAAGTGGGATATATTCAGCTTTTTCAAGGAACTTGCAAACACTCAGTTTAGAAGGGGGCCGTTCTTCCACAAATTGAGAATGTGTACTCCTCTTTCCTCGTGATTGCTTCTGTCCTGATCTGCTTTCCGGCTTCCTTAACAGTTTCCTCCAAAGGTGGGTGCAGGGAGATGGGTGCTCCCAGAGAGACAACGGTCCCAGATTTCTAGGCATATGTAGTTCTTCACCGATGGATTTATTTATTTTTAATTATTATTATTTTGTAATCCTCATCTTAGGACATGCTTAGAGAGAGGGAGGGAGAGAGGGAGAAACATTGAGCAGTTTCCTAACGTATGTGTCCCGACCGGGATCGAACTTGCAGCCCAGGTATATACCCTGACTGGGAATCCAACTGGTAACCTTTCGGTGCACAGGACGATGCTTAACCAACTGAGCCTCTCTGGCATGGCTTCACCATGTATCTTGGCTCTGCCCAATAGCGCCAGCTGTCTGGTTAGGTCCTGGAGAGCACCAGTCCATCACTGCACCTTAGCAACCACCAGCATGCGGGGCCAGAGTCACTTTTGTATAGGCCGGGCTCTTTCCAGAAAGAGGGAAGGTGGCACAGCTGCAGGTGTAGTCTAGTCTAGTCCTAGTACCAGTTTCTCGACACATGCGACTCTGATTTGGGGCACATCTCCTAACCTCTGACTTCACCCCTTCATCTATAGAATGGCGGTAATATCTGCTCTCCCAGGGGCGAGACCAAGACCAACTAACAGGTGTGAGTCTGCTCTAAACAGCACCAACTGCTGCACAAGCGTACGGAGCGTTTGCGTCTCGTGACTGGTTTAGACTCTGACCTCCGAGATTTTGGCTTCTTTATACATTTTACTTTTCATTAAAAAAAAACTTGAGATACTGTCTAGGCTTTTAAAAAATCGCTGATAAAAAGTTTTAAAAAGTTTTGAAGATAGTACACATTTCTCTCTCTCTTAGTAACAAAACCTTTTCAGTTACCTATTATTCAGTTTGTTATTTTGTTTAAAGAAGACTTCCCTATTCTAGGCCTTGCTAACAATGAAAAAAGATAAGCTTCCGATCTAAATTATAGTTCTTTCGTTGAGTTCATGAAACGAGTTTGGGTTGACAGTTAAGGGTTGGGCTTTTAAAATTTTAGAGACAAGTCCAACTTCTCATTTTGCAGTGAGTATACTGAGACTAAGTGATTAAGTAGCAAAATATTAAAATATTTAAAACTGGAAAATGTCAAACCACTGAACAGGAACAGACCACACGAGCAGGGCCAGCACTCACGCCTCCTTATATAGGGTCCTTGTTTCTCTAATGTGCTGCCTCCCTCACAATTTGCTTAACTAAATGAAGGTGGTTAAGAAAATTGTCACTGAATTCGGCTATCTCTATATTTAACAAAATTACTGTTTAATTGCCCAAGGCTGAAATCTGAAGTTCAAATCTAAATCTTTTTCAGTGGGATCAACGAGTTGAACTACCTACCTGCTAAAAACATAATGTTCCTCTTACTATAGAGTGTTGGACCAGGGATTACAAAACCCGAGTTCTCGTCTCGGTTCTGCTGAGTAACCTTAGTCAAGAAAAACAAATTGAATCTCTTTGAGCCCAGTACTCACCCGCTATAAAATGACAAGGTGGACAATATGATGTCCAAGGCCCCTGTCAGGACTTTAAATTGGGGGAATCTATGAAACCCAAAAGCATTGAGAGGGGTGGGCATGGGAGAGATTGGTGTCTCCTTTTTATATCCTGAGGATTTTGTGTTAATCAATTACTTTTTCATATTATTTCCCTATCTGGAAAGCCTTCTGATTTCCCCCAAACCTTTTCCTATCCAAGGCTCTCCTTATTTTGAGGCCCAGATTACTTTTCACTTCCTCTGGGGAGTCACTGTAGCACACGCAGCTTCTCCTTTCTGAACTCGCTCACGGGCCTTACATCTCGTGTCTGTTAATCGCTCTACGTTGCTGTGGAATGTGTCTTCCTTTTGTACCTAATCTCTAGGGAGTAGGATAGTGTGGAAAACAAAGGATAGGCTGTGAAGAGAAATACATTTAGCTGTGTGCTCTTAGGCTGGGCACATTTTAAAAATATATATTTCCTTTTTTAAATAGGTAGCACATTTTTAAATAGGTAATTCCCCCCCCCCCAAGATAATGAAAAGGGGAAGGTACAGTGAAAAGTCATCTTCTACCCCTAGTCTCACATCAAACTAGTCTTTCCCTGACTGTTGTTAGTTTCCTGTATATCCTCCTGGAGTTTCCTATTTTTTCTTCCTTTTTCTCTTACACAGAAGATGACACACTAATGTAGTCTTAGGTATGTTGCTTTTTTCACCAAATTTATCTTGGAGATCTCTTCATATCACGACACAGTGAGCTTCCTCACTGTTATTGAAGTTTTATGGATGGACTGTAATTTAACCAGTGCTTGGAAATTTTTATTTGTGTAAAGCCCCAAGTGACTTTAAAATTTGAATGACCTTTGAGCCTTACATAAGAAATTTGCTCTTTATTTATCTAAAACTTTTATTTCTGTAGTATAGTACAATTTTTAAGCACTTCACATTCTTAAAGTTAATCTTCACAAAACCTATTTGGGGTCGATAATTACTCTGTAGGTTTTACTAGATAAATAAAGGAAATACCTACGTTGGATTTTGCTGACTCTGGTGTAAGATTCTTTAGTAAAAGCTCCACCGTGCTCTTGGTGTGCGTACTACTGGCAAATAGAGGGTTTGCTTGAGAAACACAGCCTGCTTTATAGGGGCTGGTAAAAGTCTTTATTATTTCATTTATGGCCATTTGTGAGTTTACTTCCTTTCCTTTACTTACTTCCTTAAAACCAGTGGAGCATGTAGAAAAAGATCTGCACAGAGATGAAGCTTTGAGAAACAAAACAAATGTAGAAAGAAGATATGCAAATGTTCTTTTTATAGATTCAGTTTTTTGAATCTTAAAAAATTCTAACTGAAATATGTCTATGCAGAAAAAAATGACTTGCTTAATAGAATTGAAAGTCTTCATTGACATGAATGTGGCTGTTTAAGTGATTAAGTGGGTAGGGCTGAGAAGAGTAGAAAATTTTTAAACCTGGGATTTAACATTTAGTAATAATCTCTGTTAAAGGAAGTATGTAATTTGACCTTTTGAGAATGCACAAGTGAAACTGAAGGAATTTAAGTTTTATTTTTAAATTTTTATTTAATATGAAACAAAATTAGTACTTGTTAGAGATAACACAAACTGCTAATTCAACTACCTGAATGTTAACGTGTGTTACTTAGGTTATCACCGAGACCAGTAACCCTTTATATATGGAATGCTAATTTTCTACAAAATATTTCAACCATTTTAGTAACTCCTGAGATGTTTTTTAAAATGTGTATTTTATTGTTGAGAGTATTACAGATGTAGTCCTGAGATATTTTTGCTATTGATTTTTCCCTTGATGTCTTTCTCTTTTTACATTTACACTTTTAAATACTAATGCTGAAAACTGCTTAACATCATAGATGTTTAGAGATGTTTGGACACAGAGACTACCAGTTAATATTTGTTATATTTGTATATTAACTTGGCTCTTTCTACTGGACAGATGAGAAAGCCGCAGCCCAGAGGGGCTGTGATTGGCTCAGGCCACCACCTCGCCCAGAGCCCCTGGCTGCAGCTGCCCAGCCAGGACTAGGTCCTTTCTTACGGCTCTGATTGACTGGCCCTGCTCTGCGTGGGGAGAAGGTTCATTTTGAACACATTCTCTTGCTCTTTCCCCGTTTTTCTTTCTAATGTGGGACGATTAAGAAAAGACTACAAGCATTATAGTCACGGCTCTTGCGTGGAGCCTGGCTCAGTGCGGGCATGTAAGAGAGACTTGTTTGAAGTGAAGCAGAACCGGGGAGGGAGTGAGAGACACTCATGGGTGACAGGTGGGGGCTGGCAGCTGAGCAGCACTCAGCCCGCATTTGCTAGTCTATTCTCCACCTTTCCCTTCCCGGGGCGGGGGCAGCCCGTTGTGTTCATACAGTGAAGGTGCCACGTGCTGGTTCCCGGTGGCCTTTAAAAGCCTTTCTCTCCCCCGTAGGTCCTGTCCCACAACCTGTGCACGGTGCTGAAGGTTCCGCACGATCCTGTTGCCCTGGAAGAGCACTTCAGGGATGACGACGAGGGGCCCGTGTCCAATCAGGGCTACATGCCGTATTTAAACAAGTTCATTCTGGAAAAGGTATGGGTCTGGCCCCCTCTTGCTCACAGCGCTGTTTCATTTGCATATTTCACAGGGGCCCCGAGCCCCCCCGAGCCCGGCTGTGAGTTCACTAAGGAGTTCAGTGGTGAACCTTCAAGGGCAAGTCAGAAAGGAAGAAGGAGACACCGGCCACGCTTTCTTTCTCCCTCTCCACTGTCCTCTAAAACTTGGTTTGCTGTTTCCCCATCTTGGTTCATTTTTGGAGATTAAGAACTGCATTTTGTATTAATCTGTACCTGTTTTCCCTTAGGGTGCTTTTTCTTTTCTTTTCTTTAAGTTCCACATGTACTGGCAACGATTGTGGAAGCATGGGCAGGATGGGGTAAAATGTGAAATAAGTCAGTCAGAGAAAGACAAATACCATATGATTTCGCTTATATGTGGAATGTAAAGAACAAAACAAACAAACAAACAAAATTGAAACAGACTCATAGATACAAAGAGAGAACTGGTGGTTGCCAGGTGGGAGGGAGGGTTGGGGCACTGGGTGAAAAAGGTGAAGGGATTAAGAAGCACAAATTAATTGGTAGTTAACAGGATAGTCACGGGGAATTCAGTAGAGCATAGGAAATACAGTCAGTAATATTGTGATAGCCCTGGCCAGTTTGGCTCAGTGGTTAGAGTGTGCGCCCTTGGCCTGAAGGGTCCTGGGTTCAGTTCTGGCCAAGGGCACGTACCTTGGTTGCTGGCTCGATCCTTTGCCCCGGTTGGGGTGCATACAGGAGGCAATAAATCGATGTGTTTCTCTCATATCGATGCCTCTCTCTCTCTCTCTCTTTCTCTCTCTCCCTCTCTCTCTCTCTCCCACTGTCTCTGAAAAGCAATGGAAAAAAAATGTCCTCAGGTGAGGATTAAAAAAACAACAACCCCAAAATAATATTGTGATAACTATGTATAATGCCAGGTGGAGTACTGGAAATATCAAGGGGAACACTATGTAAAGTATATGATTGCCTGACCACTAAAAAAACCCACCTTCTGAGTATACTAAAAACCTACTGTATCGTATACTTTAAAGAGTCGCACTTATGGTACGTAAGTTATATCTCAATAAAAAAGATGCGATCAAATTGTGCAGAAACTGATGTGTGAGTTCTCAAAACCTCACAGTTGACGCTGTATTGTCTTCTAGAGCCTTTTTTGGCTGCTGTTCTGTTCATTGATCAGGTAGCTCATAGTTGCATTATATGTAAATATGTCTCATATTCAGCAAATATTTGATGACCTGCTGTGTACATGTTTTTGTTTTTATTTATATATATAAATATGTTTTTTAAATTGATTTCAGAGGGAGGAAGGGAGAGGGAGAGAGAGAGAGAGACATCAATGATGAGAATCACCCATTGGCTGCCTCCTGCGCTCTCCCGACTGAGGATCGATCCCACGACCCGGGCATGTGCCCTGAGCAGGAATCGAACCATGAACTCCAGGTTCATGGGTCAATACTCAACCATTGAGTCACGCCGGCTGGGCTGTGTGCACGTGTTTAATCTTAAAAATTAAAGACAATAAACGTCTGCTATTAAAAATATAGGACATACTGGGAAAGCCTCAGAAATCTGGAAACGGCTGTTTTTCAGGGCTAGAGTTTGTGTGGTTGGAGCCAGTGGATAGAGAAACATGGTTTAATGTCTTCAGGTGCTGCCCTAAGACTGCATTTTGTTCTCCTGGGTGTAACTTTCTTTAAGCATCTTGAGTTTTACACTTTAAAATGTTCTTTATTTTGGTATTTAGGTATTTTAAAGTTTTGTAAACAGGAGAGAAAATATAGCAGTATTTAAAAAGTCCAAAATCAGCCTCTAAATTCGGAGAAAACCTTATTCACAGAGCGGGCGAGGATGTGATGGAACAGTGAGCCCTTGTTTCCTCTTGCTTAGCCACCTGGAGTGGAGTTTTGCCAGTCCTTCCATCCAAATAAAGCTGCCAAGGTTTCCATGGTGTGAGTTTAAATTGAGCAAAGATTAGTGCTTTGTTTTGAAACGTGGTGGAAAAAAATGCCAGTGGTGACTGAAGCCTGATAACATGAAATTTAGAGACTCTCATCAGTTATGCAAAGAAAATATATAGTAATGATTACGTATTTGCAAGATGTGCTTTCTTATATATACCGTCCCATTTGATCCTCAGGTTAATCCTGTGATGCATAGTTGGAATTCTTCTCCCCATTTAACTCAGGAGGAAAAAGAGCATAAGGTTGCCTAGCTAATAAGAGGTAGAGAGTTTGCGAACTTAGGCCATTTACTTCTAGACCAGTGTTCTTTTATCTGTACTATGGAGGGATTTAAAGTATTCCCTTCCAGAATTATCATGTTTCCCAGTTTGGAAAAATAGGGCAGGGGAAAAATAGGGATAATCTCCAACTATCTCAGCCACCATCTAGTTCCCTTAGGCTTTCTCTCAAGTGTTTTAAGAGGATTCTTTTTTCTTCCTTAGCATCTGGTGTTCCTTAGTGTTCATTTTGGTCATTTCCCCCCCAGCCGTTTTAGCAGTTCTCTGTCTTTGCTTAGGTCCTGAAGGGGTCAGGACCGAGAGAAAAATTATATTGACATTTGCTTTCTAAAAAGTAATTTTTCCACTTGGTTTCTATTATTTGCTTCTTCTGAGATAATCGTTCCTGTTGTTCTTCACATTGACAGAATTTATTAGGACGTCAAATGATTAATATATATCTGTTCTTGTATCAAATATTTTGCCTCCCCTAAGTGTTAACATTTTTGGTTGTTGCTTGTTTGTTCCGGTCCTTCTTTAGTAAAGAATGGAATTCTGTAAGCATCTAGGAAAAAATTAAAAAAAAAATTTTAAATAGATTTTAAAGAGAGAAAGGGAGAGAAACATCAATTTGTTGTTCCACTGATTTATGCATTCATTGTTTGATTCTTGTATGTGCCCTGACCAAGGATTGAATCCACAACCTTGGAGTATTGGGATGATGGCTCCAACCAACTGACCTACCAGGCCAGGGCTAGGAAGAATTTTTTGTGAGCTTCCCCCCTTCCCCTTTTTGGCAAAGAGACACCATAGCTGGATTATCAGACATGAATAACTGAAGAAAGTGGTATCTTGTTAGCTTTTTACTATTGAGCCCCTAGACTACATCAAAAATTAGTTCTACTTCAGCATGTGTACGAGGCAATATGATTCTTTCATGAGATTTAATTACCTATTAGGTTTTTTGGTCCCAATCATTGCCAGTTCTTTTCCCTGATTCGACATGTTAAAAGTTAGTCTGGGCTGTTTGATCAAAATCAATACTCCATTGGCAGTAATGCTAAGTCCTAACTGGGGAATCTGCTACTTTCTAACGTAATCCTTTTTTTGTCTTTTGGAAACATATATACATGCAAAAGATAAACACACAAGGAGAAATATTTGAGTTTAATACAATGTCCTTTCTCTAGAGGCTAGCAGCCCCTGCATTCTGTTTTCCTAGGCTGACATGTATACTTTTTTACCAGATGCTTGACTTCATTTGTCAGCTGTAGTTCTTTTATAAAACGAGGTTTCGGATTTCTGTTAGATGAATGAATATGCCTTCAGCGCTCAAAACGTCTTCAAAACTTCTGAACGGAAAAGGGGTCCAATGCTGAATGCTGTGCATGACTTCATGCCCTTGGACACTTCGGCCAGCAATACAAATCTAAGAATGATGCAGCTTAAAGAAATAACTGGATTTAAAAAAAATAATTGCTTTATTGAGATATAATTCACATACCATACAATTTAAGTTTTTAAGGTGTGCAATCAGTGGTTTTTAATATAGTCACATTTTTGTGCAACCACAATCCATTTTGGAGTATTTTCATCGCCCTCTCCCAAAAAAACTGTGCCATTAGCACTCACCTCCTCCTTCCCCGGAGCCCTAGGCAACCACTAATCTACTTTCTGTCTCTTTGGATTTGCCTCTTCTGGACTCATCCCACATGAATGGAATCGTACTGTGTGTGGCCTTTTGTGTCTGCCTTCTTCCACTTAGCATAATGTTTTCCAGGTCCAGCCACACTGTAGCATGTAACAGCAGTCATTCCTTCTTACGGCTGAATAGTATTCCATTTTGGATATACCACATTTTGTTTGTACACCCAACAGGCGATACAGACATCTGAGTTGTTTCCACTTTTTGGTGATTATGAATTTGATGCTTTGAGCACTCATGTTCAAGGTTTTTGTGTGGATGTATGTTTTCAGTTCTCTTGAGTATATACTTAGGAATGGAAGTGTTGAGTCATATGGCAACTATATGTTTAACCTTTTGAGGAATTGCCAAAGCGTTTTCCAAAGCAGCTGTGCATTTTACTTTCCTCTGGCAATATGTGAGGCTTCCAGTTGCTTCATGTCCTTACCAACACTTGTTATTCTCTGTCTTTTTGATTATAGCCATCCTTGTGGATGAGAGGTGCGGAGTCTGTGTTTTGATTTGTATCTCCCTGATGATTAATGTGAAATGTTGTGTTTAAAGTGGTTTTCTTTATTGTAAAGTGGTTTTCTGTATTGTAAATACAGGCTGTGGTTGTACATTTTTTAAAAAGGAGCTTATTCAGAAAGTATTTATTACCCATAACCATTTAGAGGTAGTCAGTCACTGTTAAAATTTTGGTCTGTTTGCTTGGAGTCTTTATTTTATTTTTAAAAAAATATATCTTTATTGATTTCAGAGAGAAGAAAGGAGAGGGAGAGAGAGAGAAACATCAATGATGAGAGAGTCATGGATCGAGCCCGCAACCCGGGCATGTGCCCTGACCGGGAATCGAACCCCGATAGCCTGGATCCTAGGTCGACGCTCAACCGCTGAGCCACGCCCGGCCGGGCTGGAGTCTTTATTTTAAAAAATACATTTGTATGATTTTTCAAACTGGGATCATATCGAACTCTTTCCATGAATATTTCCTTTCCCATGTCATTAAAATCTTTTTGAAAACATTAGTATAAAGATTAAAACGCTAACATGTTTTTAGTCTACTGTGTATCAGGCACTGCTAAAT